CCCCCGCACCCACCGCGCCCGCCGTGACCGCCGCGACCGCCGACCGCAACAAGCACGCCCCGGCGGTCAGCCCCACATCGCCGCACGCCAATGTAAGTCACGGCCCGGCAATTTGCCCACAATCAGACGGATTATGTACTAAACTAGAACTAGAACTCCATGAGATTGTACTTGGAGAACTTAAGAAATGACATGCCACGGAGACAAAGCGTCCTTAATTTAAACATTAGCGCCTTAATATAAATTCCTGCATTCTGTCAAACTAACATTCAAAAGAGGAAAATACAGCAAAACTTACACAGTTGTATGATAAGTGGGCCAAATCGAGATTTTATCTATTTTTCTTAAAACCATTCTGTGTAATTACATGCCAAAAATAATAATATGCATTTGGACTGTTTGTTTTGTATACAAAGAGATTCTAATAACACTAATTATGTATAAGTTTGATGTCGTTGGTTACGCACAACATTCGTAAAATAGTATATCTAGAAGGAAATTAAGGTTAAACTTGTTAAGAAGGTAAAATAAAAGTTAATGATGTGGAAAAAATTATTAGCAAATATAAAAATACCAATAATTAATTGTGTGTACATAATGTTGTGATGAAACGAGTACTATAATAGTATGTCAACTGTGGTATAGCACTTTGGTCGTACAAGTTCCTCGCACAGTTCGCATGACATTGGCTTCGTCGTGTGGCCGCGTGGCCATACATATGTTGATTATGTGTCTATAGATGTTTGTTTATAAATTAGTTAGAAATAAAATGTAAACATAGTTCGCTCCACATTTCATTTATGTTTATTTACTTTTCAAGCATGCATCTTTTGTTACTGGTTCTTTCTTCCCTTCCTTTATAGAAATTATTAGTATTTTATAGTTTATTTATTATTAACACACAAAAGTTTTGCATGTTTTGTACACCTATTTTGCATTTATTTTTATTTTAACGCTTTTCTATATTTTTTGTTGTAGGTATGATGTAGTGGGGCATGCATTTCTAACATAGACAGTGGTAGCGGCCAGCTTTGGACTCTCGGCAAGACTCCTGTGTTTTGTGATTTGCAATTATTGCCAAAGACGACTTTGTTTTTATTTATTGTACATAGTTTAGTTATTGAATGGACGATTAAATGGCGCGGCGGGGGCGTGCATGCAATGCTTGCTG